GGAAGCAGCAAGAGTCCAGCCTGCCCTGGTGATCAGGGAAGGCTCCTGGAGGAGGTGCCACTGGGATCCAGCCTGGGAGAGCAGACAGGAGGAGAGAGGAGAAGGAGATGTGACCACAGCGGGAGGAAGGATCTTGCAGGTGGGAAATAGACTCGACTTCGCAAAGGCTGGAGAGTGAGAGGTCCAAATATGGTTCAGAGTCAGCTGGAGAAGAGCATCGTGGAGGCTTGTCCTTCCCACAGTTACCTGAGGATATCGATCACCTGAGACGCTTCTTAGATCTCCTAGCCAGGTAACCTGGGGAAAGTCACTTAAGAGCCCCTTTTTCTTACATGTAAAAAGAGGGTGAATAACACTGAAACCAAGAAGTGAATTGATTTACACTGGAAGGCACCTACATGGGCAGAACCTGAACACGTGAGCTGTGGCCTCCAGAACCGGCCACTCGAATCTTCCCCAACCTTCCCCACTGATCCTCCAGCGGCCCACCCAGGGCAGGAGCTCAAAAAGTATTTGCCGAGGGGATTGGGTCCTTTGCAAAATATTCCCTGAGGAGATGTGTGAGGCGCCCTGGGCAGGCAGAAGTGACGTGACGTGAAGGGGGAGAAGCAGAAACCGAGGCTGGAAAAGGCAAGCGCACAAACATGACAAGGACTCCCGGGGTGCTTTACCCGTCCGCAGCTGCCCAGGCTGTCTTCATCCGACTCGTACCTCCGGTTACCGTTTGAGTGGCCCTGAGGGAGTTCAGAGGTCAGAGTGATCCAAAGAGCAGCCCTTCCCCTGCAAGAACCTCCTCTGGGGGAACTGGTCCAGCCCTCCCAGGGGACCCTCCTCAGGGAACTGGTTCATCCCCTACCCATCCCGGACCTGGCACCTGTCTGTCCAGCAGAGAGAAGCAGGGTAACAGGCAGGACCGGTGTGCTGGGGAGGCCACAGCCTTCCACTCGCTCTCACCGTGTGCACAGATGGAACGGACTCCAAGGCACAGGATCCCAGCAGTCAGGCACCAAGAAAACTGGGCCAAGTCCTCCCCCCAGCCAAAGCTCCCATCGCCTGATTACAATTTTGCAGTAATAAAGCGAGACAAGAGGCCACCCGCGAGACTGGCCATGATGCTCAGGTTTAATTTGGGCACTTGGCAAAACCTCTACATGGCTGACACTGCCCAAGACCACCCTCCCCAGGATGCTGCTGGGAAGATGCTTTAGGAAACCATTGTCGGGGTCCCTCCGGAGGGACTGCTACAATCCTGTGCCTTGGAGCTGGGCCCTCCCACCTGCACCAACACCCTTCTGGTCTGCTACCCACCATCCCCTCTGCTTAGCTACCAGAGGTCCCAGCTTCACTGTAAGAAGTGTCTGCCATTTTCAACCTTGTGTCTAATCCCCCATGCTTGTCCCCTCACTAAACTTACTGGTCAACACTACCCTGTTTTGTCTTCTGCTCTGCATGTGTTTTTATCTGAAATGATTTATTTGCTTGTTATGCGCTTATGACCCACTCCCCTTCCCCCCAGCTCTCTATCCTCCTGGACAACCAGGTAACAGGGGACTCTGTTCTCATTTTCTGGGGGTTCCTTACATGTTCTCGGGGCTCTGGGTCATCCAGCTCACCCCGCTTCTCACTGGGGTATCCGCTGTCCCCACTGTTCTCAGAGTCCTGTGGAGAGAAGATGACCCTAGGGTCTCAGTGGTCCTCTGAGTACCTAGTGGTGGTCATATCTGGAATTCCAGCCATTTTCTTTCTCTCCTTTGTCCTGTCACCTCACTTAACACTCTCTCCCTCCAACCCTTGTTGGTCGAGTAACAAGGAAAGGGTGGGAAGCAGTGGCAAAGAGCTTGGACTCTGGGGCCAGACTGCCCAGGCTCAAGTCCGAGCTTTGTGACTCGCCAGCTGTGGCCTTGGGCAGTCGCTTAGCCTCTCTGAACTTTGGTTTCCTTCATTACAGCCCCTACATCAAAGGGCTCTGAAGATAAAACAAGGTGTCACACTCAGGGTGGGGATCGTAATTGAGTGCTATTATTAAGAGTGGCTCACCCAATTCTCAGGCAGAAAAACAAAGGCTGGTTGAAAGGATATGACCCCTGGATAAAGATGTAGTGTTGGGAAGAATTATTTCACCACAGCTAAGCCCTCTGCCAAAACTGCACAGGTCACTGGGTATATTTTTTTATTCTTCAAGGTCTGAGTTCTGTTGTGAAAAGGAATCTAGTATGATTTAGAATCTCTAGAACTTCAGTCATTTGTCTACCAACATTGAGTTCTGGCATATCCCCACGTCACTATTCAGCCGATAATTTTAATTTTTTCCTTCTTTATTCTCCTAAGAAATATTTCAAACACATAAATAAGAACAGAGAATCCTAATGTGAACTCCTGTACTGCTGTTAAAACTTAGACCTCTTATGAATTCCTCCCCATCCCATTCTCTTCCTCCTCCAGATAAAACCCCATTCATGAATTCATATTTCTATTATTTTTCTTTAAATAAATCATCTTATTTACTTAAGTCAATTTATTTTTAAAAGAATCACTACCATAAATGTAAAACCTGGCTCAGTCTCCTAGGCAGATGGGAGCCATGGAACATACACAACGGAATCCCTGGCCTCTGGTCTGGCCAGGACCCACTCCTCCCCAAGGAGCTGTGTTATCCTCAAAGGCCCCAGCCCTGGTTTCTAGAAGCACCACAGGCTTCCTACCGCCCCTCCCCTAGGCTTTTGCTCTGTGTGAGCCAAACAGCTGTTCTGATTTTTTTTTTATAACTATTTCCATTGTTAATATTGAGGCACAATTTACAGACAATCAAACTGAAGTGTTTAGTGTGCTGAGTGAAAGACTATCTTTGAAAACGGATCACAGGCCAGACCCAGAAGCCTGGGAAGCCCCCTCCTTGTACCCACTTCCTGCATGACCCTGGGCCCCGTGTCCTACCCTTGGAAATCACTCCTGAGCCAGACAACAGAGAGCCCCACTCAAACCCCAGCTCTGTACCTCCCAGCTCTGGGATCCTGGGCGAGGCCGCCCACTTCTCCAAACCTCAAGTGTCCTCATCTGAGAAATGGGGGAATACCACTCATCTGAGAAATGGAGAACAGAAGTAAAGGACCGCAGGGCAGAGGGTGGGTTTGAATCCTAACTCCATCCCTGGGTGACTGTGAGCAAGCGGCTAACATGTCTGTGCCTCCGTGTGTCCCCATCTGTCAATCAGGGATGATGAGAACACTGCTCAAGCAGCTGCGAACGCTGAGGGTAAGCAGGTGGCCGAGGGGACAGGTGGCAGGAAGACTTTTTTTTAAAACTGAAGTACAGTCAGTTTACAATGTTGTATCAATTTCTGGTGTGCAGCATACTGTTTCAGTCACACATATGCATGCATATGCTCGCTTTCATATTCTTTTTCATTATAGGTTCCTACAAGAAGACTCTTCACCATGCTAACTTTTTGTACCTTTTCCTTTCCCACCTACTCTGAAATTCTAAACTTCATCCTAACTCCAGAATAAGACCTACTCTAAAAGGAATACAAAATACTCTCTACCTCCTAAGTTGCTGTGGGGATTAAACGAGAATTATCTACCAAGCTCTTGAAACAGTTTCTGCCCATAGAGACATTCCCTCCATGTCAGCTATTCTTACTTTTTTTTCTTCCACTCGAGAACTCTGAACAGCAGTCAGGAGTGAACTGGAACCTTTGCAGCAGGCTGAGGGTGCAGCTTCAGGTGCCTGTGGCCTGTGCAAGTGTGACAGTTCTACCAAGTCTGTGTAAAAAATTCCAGTGAATTTTTAATGTGACCCCCTAATATATGTCCGTCTGAATGCAAATATGTCATCTGCAGCTTCCTACTGCTGAGTCATCTAGAGGCGGCAGGACACCTGTTCTGTGTATCCAGCCTGTGAGCACCTCAGCTGCCTGCGCTGTAAGTTACACATCTAATTTGACACCATACTGTATGTTCATCTGCATGCAAATATGTCAGCTACAGCTTCTTCCTGCTGAGTCATCTAGAAGTTGCAAGAAAGCCGTTTTGTGTCTCTGTCCTGTGAGCATCCTAGCTGCCTGTGCTCTAAGTTATACACTGGAGACCCAGCCTAACCCCTTCTCCCCTAAGACAGCTGTCTGTACACGGGGCCAAACCAAACCCAGGGCCCAGCCTGGCATTTACCAAAAGGTCACACTGTTGCTGTTTTGGATTCTCTCTACTCTGTCTCCAGGAACCCGCACAGGCCCAGCTCTTCCCAGAGGAAACCCTGCCCTGGGCAGGAGGCTGAGATTCCCCTCCGCCTGCCTGTGCCCTCCTGCCAGCGCCCAGAGCAGACCTGGGCTGCCCACCTCTTCCTTGAGGACTCACATCTCTGTTCCTGAGGGAGGGAGCCCACTCCTCCCCGAGCTGCTCCTCCATCCCCCTCCACTCACCCGGTGGTTGTCCAGATGGTCGTGGTCTCGGGGAGCCGCATTATCAAGGTCACTGAACACAGGCCAGTCTGGGCAGGGAGGAAACAAGAGTCAGACACCAGCTCCATCGCTGGAACGGTTCACAAGACCCACCCACAGCCTACAGCTGCCACCAACCCTTTTTTAATTTTAAATTTACAAAGATGGGAGAAGAATGTTGTGAGCACCTGGAGGGGGCAGCAGTTCCTCCTGGAGCACTTAGAGCCTGACACTTGCCAGGTGTGGGAGCCTAAGCACTGTGCCTCCTTGGGGTTGTCCTAATGCCAAGCCCCCTTGTGTAATGTGTTTGTGAACTCATGTGCCGGGGTCATGCCCGGCCCTCAAGGAGGTGCAGTCGTGAAGGAAGAAAAGCCATTTGTACATTTGGGGCCCAATGGGTAGAGTCAAGTGGGAGCAGCTCAGATGGTTGAGAACCAGCCATTTCCTGGTGGTTCCCAGTTTTCACCCTCTGTCCTAAGCTCCCACTAGCCAAACCTGGCTTGTCTCCTGGTCTTGTCTGGTTTTTAAGAATTCTTTTTACATTTTTGTTCGTTTTGGGGGGTGGGTAATTAGGTTTATTTATTTTTAAAGGAGGTACTGGGGATTGAACCCAGGACCTTGTGCATCACAAGCATTCACTCTACCACTTGAGCTATATACCCTCCCCCTCCTTTTTACATTTTTTAGTGGTTGGGAAAAAAAAATCAAAAGAAGAGTATCTTGTGATATGTGAAAATTAAATGAGATTTAAAATTCAATGTCCATAGAGTTTTACTGGAACACAGCCACACCTTGTTTCAGGTATTGTCTATGGCCGTGTTTATGTTGCAAAGGCTGAGACCACATGGCCCACAAAGTCTAAAATATTTACTCTCTGGCCTTTTAAGAAAAACCTGTCAACTCCTGCTCCAGACTATTCCCAAGGCTTTCCAGTGGTGATGTCTCACAGGCTTCTTTAACATCTGACACGAAAATCCTCCTCTCCTGCTCCCCTGCCGCCTCCTCCAGCTGAATTATTGGCCACACCATCCTTTCTGTTGTTCAGATCAAAACCCTGGAATCAGCCTTGCCTCCCCCCTTTTCTGCAGATCCCACGTCCACATCATCAGCAAACTCTGTCCCATCAACTTCAGAAATAACGATTCCGCTTTTCCCCTTTGATCTATTCATATGATGTTAATCGGTTTCCACCACGGAACCACCTCTGGATTCATGCAAGAACCCTATTGGGCTATGACAGACTGTTCTTTTAAGACACTAGTCTTGATTTGTTAATACTTTACTTAGAATTTTTGCCTTGTATATTTATAAGTGAGGTTGGGATATAGTTTTCTTTTTTGGTGTTTTGTCAAATTTTGGTATACAAGTTTTTTGCTGATTTCATAAAATGCCCTGAAAACTGTTACCTTGTTTTCTATAATAGAGGTTGTTTTTACAGCATTTGGATGACCTGCATCTTGAACGTTTATTAAAGAACTCACCTGTAAAACCATCTGGGCCAACCACCTTTTTGGTTGGCATGGCAGATCTTCTAA